AAAAGTTAAGGCTATAGCCTTACTTTTTTGCTGTTTTTGGCCCACTTATGAAAAATGACATAAGTGGCTAAAAATGGACGAAAAGTTAAGGCTATAGCCTTACTTTTTTGCCTTTTTTGGCCCACTTATGAAAAATGACATAAGTGGCTAAAAATGGACGAAAAGTTAAGGCTATAGCCTTACTTTTTTGCCGTTTTTGGCCCACTTATGAAAAATGACATAAGTGGCTAAAAATGGACGAAAAGTTAAGGCTATAGCCTTACTTTTTTGCCGTTTTTGGCCCACTTATGAAAAATGACATAAGTGGCTAAAAATGGACGAAAAGTTAAGGCTATAGCCTTACTTTTTTGGCCCACTTATGAAAAATGACATAAGTGGCTAAAAATGGACGAAAAGTTAAGGCTATAGCCTTACTTTTTTGGCCCACTTATGAAAAATGACATAAGTGGCTAAAAATGGACGAAAAGTTAAGGCTATAGCCTTACTTTTTCTTTTTGGCCCACTTATGAAAAATGACATAAGTGGCTAAAAATGGACGAAAAGTTAAGGCTATAGCCTTACTTTTTTGGCCCACTTATGAAAAATGACATAAGTGGCTAAAAATGGACGAAAAGTTAAGGCTATAGCCTTACTTTTTTGCCGTTTTTGGCCCACTTATGAAAAATGACATAAGTGGCTAAAAATGGACGAAAAGTTAAGGCTATAGCTTTACTTTTTTGCCGTTTATGGCCCACTTATGATAAATGACATAAGTGGCTAAAAATGAACGAAAAGTTAAGGCTATAGCCTTACTTTTTTGCCGTTTTTGGCCCACTTATGAAAAATGACATAAGTGGCTAAAAATGGACGAAAAGTTAAGGCTATAGCCTTACTTTTTTGCCTTTTTTGGCCCACTTATGAAAAATGACATAAGTGGCTAAAAATGGACGAAAAGTTAAGGCTATAGCCTTACTTTTTTGCCGTTTTTGGCCCAAATTAAACAATTTTAACTAATATATGGCTGGATGAACTCTAAACCTATAATTAATAAATTCGTTTGTGCAGGAACGTCCCTACAGGTGTGTGTGTGTGTGTGTGTGTGTGGGGGGGGGGGGGGGG